GCTCATCCAGGTGCCAATGAGTGAGAAGGGAAAGATCACCCGTGGGCGACTGGGCTCTCTGTCTCTAAAGAAAGAGGGAGAGAGGCAGTGCTTTCTCTTCTCCAAGCATTTAATCATCTGCACCAGGGGTTCTGGGGGAAAGCTTCATCTCACCAAGGTGGGCCTGCACTGCTGATCTAGAGCTACACTTGTAACAATAGTAATGATAATCTTGTGTCTTTTTGAGAACTTGCACAGTGTGCTTTGCCAGGAGAGCTGGGGTTAATGACACCTTGCATACAAAGGATAAAAAGCCAATAAATAAATGGAAAAATTACAAATAAAATAGGTATGGGATTATTATTAATTCTTCTTGTTCTCCAATCAACTCCAAAAGAGTTCAATTTTCAGTGGAGACGCTGCTGATCCTTTTCCACTTTCACAGATTTGTTTTTGTAGGAGTATGAGGCTGATTCTTATAAATGTATGATACAGTAGGTTGTGCAGTATTAACAACATGTTGAGTCAAACACAGCTGGTGTGAAGGAACTGGATGTATACTGTGTGTTGTTTGCAGAATGGAGTAGTCTCACTTATAGACTGCACTCTTATGGAGGAGGCTGAAGGGACAGATGATGAGTGTGAGTGTTTCATTCATATAGCACAGTACAGAAATCATGTGTTTTGTATTATTACTACAATGTACCAGATAATATTTAATATTTTAGAATTAATATTTAGATCAGTTAAAGAACTATGGTATACTATTACAGTATATTAAAGACAAAAAGTCACAAAAAGAAGACACAGTTATAAACAGATTTTTCAGTCAGATGCTTTTTCTCTGTTTGTTGTGAACACAGCTATAATATAATATTGAAATGAACAATTTTTGCACCCGTACTGTATAACTGCTAAAACCTATAGAGGAAATTACATCTAGTTATGCCTTTGTGTTCACCTCAAAGCCAAATCAGACAAGAGCAGCCAAGACATGGAACACCTGGACTTCAAGATTGTCGTAGAGCCAAAGGACAGCCAGTCATTCACAGTCATCCTGGTGGCCTCCTCAAGGCAGGAGAAGTCTGCATGGACCAGTGACATCAGTCAGGCACGTCAACATGCATCACAGTCTCCAGCAGTCAGACAAGAAGCCAAGGATGTTGCAGAAATCCTGCATGTTACAGAACTTTCTAATATTTTCTCTCAGTTTGATTTTCCTCCATCTGACCTACAGTGTATAGACAACATCCGGTGCAACGGGTTAATGATGAATGCCTTTGAAGACAACTCCAAAGTCACAGTACCACAGATGATCAAGTAAGCAGATTTTGTTTTATACATGCAATTCTTAACAACTTCTCATTTTTCTGGCCTGTATTTCTATTGAATTTATTGTGGGTTTTTTTCTCTGAGCAGGTCAGATTCGAGTCTGTACTGTGATGATGTGGACATCCGCTTCAGTAAAATGATGAACTCCTGCAAGGTGCTGCAGATCCGATATGCCAGTGTGGAGCGCCTGCTGGAGAGGCTGACCGACCTCCGTTTCCTCTCCATTGACTTCCTCAACACCTTTCTGCACTCCTATCGTGTGTTCACCACTGCTGATGTGGTCCTAGACAAACTCATTACCATCTATAAGAAGCCCATCAGTGCCATTCCCGCTCGGTGAGTCACATTACATTTGGACAGATCTGAATGTTGAAAGGTTGTAGAAAACAAATCCTTTTTGATATGTCTGGCATCCTTCCAGGCCTTACCATACTGCATAAAGATGAGACTGATTTATCATGATGTGAAGCACTGTCGGCATCTAATCAATGCAAAGCTCACACAGGAGACAAAGAGCTTGCAGGTTGAACTTTGAGGTTTAACTGCAGCCACATGAATTGTTTCTTTCAGTTTTGACATCAGATCATTTGTGAATTAATTTAAGATATGTAAAGATGAGTAATCAGTAACTTCAGGAATGGAGTCTAAGCAACATTCATGCAAATAAAATTTCAGATGGTCACATAATTCATGAGCGCATAGATAACAATGAAACAAAATTAAATATTTTTTAAATAAATGATGAATGTCAGGGTGAAACATGAGGCTAGCTGGTGTTCAGGGATATTTGTATGTAAAGTACTTCACATTACAAGCATATACGCTCATTCAACCTGGCTCCCTCTTTACCAGCTGCAACATTAAATATGATGTACACAATAATGCATCAGTTGTTATAACTCAATAATTTGATATACATTAATTTTAAATGTGTCATTGTGCTATAATGAGTACTTTTGCTTTTAGTATTTTAAGTATGTTTTGATGCTAATACTGTACCTTTACTTAAGTGACATTATGAATGCAGGATTCTACTTGTAACAGAGTATTTTTACACTGTGTTCTTGGTACTTAAGTAAAGTATCTAAGTACTTCTTCCACCACTATTTGTTACGTGTGTTGCATGTAATAGAATTAGTGTTTGGATACTACATGTGACACTGGAGCAGTTAAGTCTCTCCTGCCTGCCTGGGAGTGTCTCAGCTGAGCTCTGTTGCTCTATGGCAACCAACCTTGGTGCTGCAGGACCCCACCCTCCTCTCCCTCGATCCTTGTTTGCAAAGGATCCATAGTGTGAAATATTGATGGGGTGTTGCAGTGGGGCTAACTCGCCGCTCCATGGGCCTATTGTGAGGGCCACACTGTGGGGTTCAGAACAAGAAGAGCTCCCCAAGCCCACGCCCTGCAGCATGCTCTCCCGCAGCGCTTGTCATGTCACTGTGAGACACCTACACTTGTCTGCTTGTGTCAGCAGTGGCCATGCGCACTATCACTCGCTGTGCTATTTATGGGAACCCGTGAGGTCGCCAGGAGGGTGGCAGGGAGTGGGAGAGGTTTTCTGCAACACTGCAGCCTGTATCCTGCACTAAAATGATGAGATGTGACTGCAAAGAGACTTCTTGTTGCTGGGCTGACTTGGGTTTGCATAAATTATTAAGGTGGTGTTGTGTAAAGTATACTTACCGAATGTAAAAGAAATGTATTCCTATATCCAATATTCAAATGCATATGTCCTCTCTTGACACAGATCGCTGGAGTTATTCTTTGCCAGCAGTCAGAACAGTAAATTCCTATATGGAGAGCCTCCCAGCTCCCCCAGGGCCAGCAGGAAGTTCTCCTCCCCTCCTCCTCTCGCTATTGCCAAGAATTCATCTCCAAACCGTCGACGCAAGCTGTCCCTCAACATCCCCATCATCACTGGGGGCAAAGCTCTTGACCTGGCTGCCCTCAGCTGCTCCTCAAATGGCTATGCAAGCATGTACTCATCTGTGTCGCCGTTCAGCAAGACCACCTTGGACATCAATAAGCTCTATGTATCCAGCCCTATCTCAAGCAAAATCCCTGATGAAGGAGAGGACAAGAAGGACAAGGTGGAAGATACATCAGTGTGCAAACAAGGTAGAATAGCTGCAGCCTTTACAAACAAATCATTGCAACTTGGATTTGTTGTAATGATGTTTTGAGTGACCTCTGTGCTTTTGTTTTGGTACAGATCTCTCAGTACGTGAAGAAAGTGACAATGATCAAAACCAGAGTGATGACGGAGATCCAGAAGCTTCTCCCACCAAGTCACCAACCACCCCAAAAAACCTCAAATGCAAAAACTCCTCAGGTACATTGTGTATTACACATGTGCTCTTACATAATAACAACTCAATAGTGTCATATTCAAGCTTGTAAGTTGCACACTAACATGCCATCTGTATCCAACCCCTGCCAGAAGCATAAGTCATGTAAAGTATAAATTTGTTCATGGTTATGAACATGTGAGGGAAGCCAACGCTTGGCTATAGCAGGTGTTAGGGAAGATTGTGTCATAGCAACTACATCAAGAGCGTGTTTTCCCTGCCGCCCCCAGCAATGAGGCTGTTTCACTGGAGCCAAGATTATCTCTACATTTAAATCTTCTGACAAAATCACACAAATTTTAAATGTAAAGCCTGCTCTGGAATAGTGAATCAACAGAAAATGTGAAGCAATGTGTATCGCGCATAGTGTAGGATCCTCAGCTGCTTATGATCTGTATGTTTCCAGGATTTAAACTGCAGAGAATCTGTTGATTCCTCTGTTATGCTGATATTTGGTGGCTATATTTAGCTGCAACCATCTTGAAAATCAAAGCCTCTTGTAAAGGAAAGTGTGGAGGGAGATAGTTGTGTTGGCCTGTAGTGCTTCCTAGTGGAGGCTTGAAGGAATGCAAGGAGGAACAGGTTTTTCTGCAGTCAGTAATAATATGAACGTAAATCATTTGTTATGTCTGTCTTCAGACCTATTTAATTTACCACACCAAAATCAGTCTCATGGTTGTTTTGTCTTTATTGGTGTTTCCTAGAATTCTCCCTGTTTTCCTACAACAACGGCATGGTAATGTCCTCATGTCGAGAGCTGGATAACAACCGTAGTGCCCTGTCTGCTGCCTCCGCCTTTGCTATTGCTACAGCTGGAGCCAATGAGGGCACCCCTACCAAGGAGAAATATCGGCGGATGTCCCTTGCCAGCACTGGTATACACACTTATCCACTGTCAGGACCAAAGTATAACAATAGTTATTGTTTAACATAACAAGGCTGCCAAGGACTGATGTTAGATTCATAGCAGCTGGTGTTTGCTGCCAAATGTGAGAGCCTAATATCAAATCTCAGTATATCAATATATTTTCTACAGGTTTCCCAACAGATCAGAGAAATGGAGACAAAGAGTTTGTGATCCGACGAGCAGCAACCAACAGAGTCCTGAATGTCCTGAGACACTGGGTGTCCAAACACTCTCCGGTAAAACATCCCAACACAATTCAAGGCACATTTATAGGCACATTTCATCAGTGCTGGATGACTGGCCCTTTTTTTTCCACATTCATTCATTAAATTACATCTGGATGCAAGGACCGACTGGGACAAAATGTGGGTTTTCGGCAGTAATGGTTGAAGTAACTGCTGAAAAACATGATTTCAACTTGTTCAAAAACTTGACTTCAAAATGTTGTCAAATTATTATCAATAAATTATTATCAACCTGTACCCTCAGGTTAGTCTTTGGTAGCTTATAATATTCAAAACACTGTTGCCCATAAAACTGTCCACCTGCTTACATACTGTACAAAAGGGATTATTTTGAGGGCTGTAGAAAGTCATTTTGTTGTTAATGGAGGGAAAACGTAGCCAGGGGGGAAAAGGATTTAATGATCTAAAATGCAGAGAGCAGCACAAAGTGTAGCCAACTGATCTGAAACAGGGGTTTTGTTTAACTGTGACCAACAACTAAAAAGCACTTATTAAGCCAACTGTAAGTGTGTTGTCTGTGCCTCTCCAGGACTTTGAGAATAACAATGAGCTGAAGACAAAGGTTATTGCTTTCCTGGAGGAAGTGATGCATGACCCTGAGCTGCTGACCCAGGAGAGGAAAGCAGCAGCCAACATTATTAGGTACTATTGTTTGCTGTTTGATCATCAGACCTCAACTCATAATGCAAATCCAATATTTGAAAGTATTTATTATAATGTACATACTTCTTTCCTCCTGAACGTCAGGACTCTAACTCAGGAAGATCACGGTGACAATCAAATCACCCTTGAAGACGTGACACAGTTGGTGAGTAAAGCTGCTGCAGTTAATGTTTGTGTTTAGTGTAGAGCAGTTTTAAAGTTTTGACAAAATATGCCAATATATCTACATTTATACTGATGGTGAGAAGGACACTTTCCACTAACTTTCTGTCGCTTGGCTAATCTAATTATTCAATAAATTGTTTTAGGTCTAATTACTGAGATATATATGATGGACATGGCGTCACCACTTCCTTCCAGTATGCAAAGGTGAAGCCAAAATATTATGAAAGCTGCAGCTGCCAACTTGCTTTTTTTGCATCCAGGTTCTGCACAGCAGCAGCCAGAAGTAGAGTGGCAACATCAGGCTGCTAAATCAAAGCTGTCAAATCAACTGCAATACACCTCTTTTTATATGATCAAATTACTTATTAAAAACAAACTTAGCAGAAGAAATGACCACTTGTAAACAGGTGCGCCTGATGTCTACCAAAAACCACAGAAGTGACCTCTGGGATAAATTGATCTGATCTGATCCCAACTACTAACATGGAGGATTTATGATATATACTGCAACCAGCCACAGGAGGGCGATAACATCACAGTGGCTTCACTTCTGGGAGCTCTTAGCCTGTCCACCATTTTCTCAATCAGTGGTTCTAAAAAACATTTTGCACTGCCAACTACAGTATTTTTACATATTTTCTCTCCTTGTATCCTTTTTGACTGGGTTTATAAGCACAAACAATCTTGTGCCATTTACAGAAATTAAGTTAACTACATTTTAAGTATTTGCATTCTGTTTTTCACTAACTTGGTGCATATTAAATTATTTTCTGAATGTTCAATGTCTCCTAGGTGGGAGGAGGGAAGGCAGAGCCCTTTGAGAATCACTCTGCGTTAGAGATCGCAGAGCAGCTCACTCTGCTGGATCACCTGGTGTTTAAAGTCATCCCATATGAGTAGGTACCATTTATGCAGTATCTGTGGCCAAGAACAAAGCACATACAAACTCAAGGTTGACTGTTGTCTTGTGTTTATCTGATCACTTTGCAGGGAATTCTTTGGACAAGGCTGGATGAAGAATGACAAAAATGAGAAGACACCTTATATCATGAGAACAACAAAGCACTTCAATGATGTATGTTTCATTCAACAAGCCCCTCACACAGCTCACCTAGTGTAACTGTATTGTGATTTTCAAACACAATATTGAGTCTAAATACCTCATTTATCTCTTTTGTCTGAAAGATGAGCAACCTTATTGCAACAGAGATCCTGCGCTGTGAAGATGTGGTCACGAGGGTAGCTGTCATAGAGAAATGGGTGGCTGTGGCTGACATCTGCCGCTGTCTCCACAACTACAATGCTGTGCTCGAGATCACCTCCTCCCTCAATCGCAGCTCTGTTTTCCGCCTTAAGAAGACCTGGCTCAAGGTTTCCAAGCAGGTGTTTATGTCGCTATGCATTCTTTGATTTTCTTTTTCTTCCTAATGTACTTGCTCATTAAATGTGTTCTTGACCAACTTTTCTTCTAGACAAAAGCATTGATTGATAAGCTGCAAAAGCTGGTCTCATCAGAAGGCAGGTTCAAAAACCTGAGAGAAGCATTGAAGAAGTGAGTTAAGTTCAGTTTTGTACTGGCTTAATAAAGCAAACATGCAGCATATGTGATGTGTGTGTGTTTTCCCCCACCAGCTGTGATCCTCCCTGCGTGCCCTACCTGGGGATGTACCTCACTGACCTGGCTTTCATTGAGGAAGGAACGCCAAACTACACCGAAGACAGTTTGGTGAACTTCTCCAAGATGAGGATGGTGAGATATTTGGTGTGATGTCACATGGGAGACTTTGTGCAAATGTGTTTTTAACAGTCAGATTTTAACATCCTGCCTCTTGTGCTTTTCAGATCTCACACATCATCAGGGAAATCAGGCAGTTTCAGCAAACAGCATACAAAATTGACCTGCAACCAAAGGTAGATTAATACCAAGGCCATAGACCAGTGGTTCCCAACCCTCTTGGTTTGTAAATATACGCTATGTCTAAAATAATGGCAGAGAATTTAGACAGAGCAAGGAGAAAAGTTTTAGAAAAACATTTATTTAGTCAGGCATATTGGTTTGTAACGCTGATCCGTTTTTACCTCAAGATATCGTCATCAGGAAGGAAAAGTAAGAAACTAGAATTACTGCTTTACGTTCTATGCCTCTGCCAACCAGTCAAATTCATGGGACTGAACAGATGTGAAGTCACTGACCATGACCTTTGACCACCAAAACCTAATCATCCTTGAGTCCGGGTTGACATTTGTTCCAACTTTGAAGAAATTTCCTCAAGGAGTCTCTGACATAACACATTCACAAGAATGGACCGTATGGAGAGACAGATGGGTGGAAAACCTGACAAAATCATGCCTACAGCTGCAGCTATTGCCAGTGCAGAGGCATAAAAATGAAGCTATGTCTACTTGTAACCCCAGTTCACAGGTTGTTTATGTTGACATTGCAGCTATTTTGAATGAATGAATGATTAATCCTTCTTAGGTTCTTTTATTTTAATACATTTTAGAGACAGCAGAAATTCAATTGTCTAGAAACTCACAAGAAAAATGCAAAGATTACAAACACAAATACACCATTTTATGTAACAGAAAATCTTTTTCCTAATAACCCCATTTTACAACCCCTAACATCTGTGTTGTAAACTCTTGAGAGTGGTCCTGATGTCCTGACTGGGGTAAACAAGACAACTGACAGAAAATAAATTGGAAAAAAATGCTTGCTACAAAATGGATACTTTTTTCAGATGTTACTTTAATGTTTTCTTTGTTTCTTTTTGAATTGTTGGCTAGTTTTATATCTTCAAGCTTCTAAAAATGATAAAGATAAATCACTAATAAATAAGATCAAGATAAATAAATTAACCCAGTCATGGCGTACAGTATGCTATCAGAAGTAGACACTGCTTTAGGTTGGAAACCATTGATATAGGGAAGAAAGAAAATGGCTGCCTTGCCTGTTTTGTATTGTGAAAGTGCACAGATTAATCTCTGTTAAAGAAAAATTCTTAGACTTTTCTGTCTTTTTTCATATTTCAGGGATCCCAGTATCTATTGGATAACAGCTCTGTTCTGGATGAAGAAAGCATGTATGAAGCCTCACTCAGAATTGAGCCTAAAGTGCCCAACTGATGGGCAAGCTGGTCCTTCACGTTATTTTTCTGTTAATATGTCATATCTGATAACATACACGTTAACTTTGTATAATTGTACATGTTTATGATATTTGCTCTTCTTTGACAACACATTCTGTGATCTGTTTCAAGCATAATAACAGAGGTCTCTTCAGTTGCACACAGCTGTGTCTTCTTAGTGACCAATGACATTATTTTGCATTTCATACCGTGCCAACTTCGCATTTTCTGAGCACTCACGCTGTCTGCCTTTATTCTCTTTGCTTGCGTTTTATTGATGACTGGGTTTTTCCGCAACTGATGTAGCATTGTAAAAATGTAACTGCATCAAATCAGGTAAAAGAGCACAGAGAATTTAGCTGAAATTAGTGCTGGGAAACCATGATCAGTGGCGATGACAGCAGGGTATCTCAAGCATTTCCCAAACCAAAATAAGATGCATTTGTTTTGTTTCATTTTTGCTCACTACTCAAAAGACAGAGACTCCCAACCATTTTTTGCACTGTGGATCTTTTTTTAATTGATAGTGGCATTGTGGGTCAGCCAACAGGAGAACAACACCCTGTGTCTGACTTGGTTACTTAAGATTAACTCCATGTGTCTGCAGCCATGATAACAACTCAGTGCTATGAGCTAAATGCTAAAAACAGCATATGTATGTTTACCATGAAGTTCACCACGTTCACTGTTTTTGTTTGAGACTTATAGGAAAATATTAATTTTTTCAAGTATTGGTTATAAACTAAAGTATTGGGCCACTTAAAATTATGACCCGATGATGGCACTAGATGAAAATACAAGGGAATGCCAAGTTATTATATTTTGTCCTGAAAGTCGGGGCACATGATGCTGTGTGCCTAATTTTATGGCAATCCATCCAATAGGTGCTGAGGCACTGTGGTAAAACACACATATATGGCACTAGAGGAAAAGTCAGTGGATCACCAAAGTCATTCGGCTTCATTCTCTAGCACCCAAATGTGTCAGAGTTTATGAAAATCCATCCAAGTTGTTGAGGCAAATCCACCTGGACCTCTGTTCTAAGATACATGTAACCTAAAACTGACAAAAAAATTCAATTGTCTTTTTAATTGTTGTATAATGATACATTCCATTTGTAGCCTGTTGTCATGAGTTACCTAAACTCACCCTGGACACCTCAGTTCATTTTACTGTACATAGTCACTGATAAAGAGGGGTTTAGATCGCAGCAATCCATGGCAAAAGATTAGCAGTCTGAATTTACTTTTACACCAATATAGCACAGTGAGTTTCTCCCCATTTGTCTAACTCTTATGGTTTTTGATTTTTTGTTCAACTCAAACTCATGAAAAAGGTCACATGCGATGTTAAGTGTTGTACCTTAAGGTTTGGCGATACTTCTGTAGAGAAAACGGCCGTTGCTCTTCTGTAATTAAAAGACAATCTGTCCTTTTTGCTGTTCCAGTGATTGTGGAACGTGACTGTATATCACTCTGTTATATGCATTGCTGTTAAAAACTATGATACAACGTATGTGAATGACCTCTGCCTGCAGCATTCAAACACTATTTTTGTAGTAGTATAAGAGAGAGTGACCTGCTCTTTATATAAACATGGGAAAGTATTTTGTACTTTGTTGTTAATTCACTTCACTGACATGTGCTGTACATTTTGTACATGCAACCCTGCATATTTCTCAACGTGGAACAGTGTAATCCTTTCCCAAAAACAAAAATAAAAAATAAAAATTGTATCTCAAGATTAAACACAAAACAAAGCTACAGTACAACAGTGTGGTCTTGAAACCATGACTTAGAGGTAGGAGACAACTTCAAAGTGTTTTGCATTTATACTGTAATCCTGTCTATAACCATTTCTGTTAGCAGGAATATAGTAATGTAGTGCTTATTCTGTGAATATTTGTATGTATTTTTACTATGTATGTACAGTACACTTTTGAAGCTCATGTGGCAGGCATGCAACACCTTCACAGACAGAATAATACTATATACTTATATTGTAAACACTTATACATGCACATAATCTTATAAGGTATATAAACAAATAAACATTTTGCTGTTAGCAATACCCAGTGGTATGAAAATTATCTTTCAACCCTCATGTTTCCACACCTTAAGAAATATTCCCAGTTTTGTATTAAAAAAAGAAACAGAACAAAAGATAACAATAAATAAACAAAAGTATGTTTCCCAGTTACCTCTTGCTATAATAAATCAATTTTATCTCAGGGGGATTTTGTCTCAAGTGTTTTTGTAGATTGTCTATCAGTTGGCTTCATGTTCCTCTATGATGACATAAAATGTAATCCGGTAGTATTTAACAGCACCTCTCTGTGCTGCCAAGCAAAGATGTACAGCAGCTGACAGTCATGGATGTAACTTTAAAATCTGGGCTTTATGTAAAAAAAATACAGACTATTCAGAATTTTCACAAATACATAAACTGGAAGAAAATGTACATGTAGTTATGTTTAAAATACATTGCTTCAAGTGCTTCAAGTTGTCATGTTTTCTTCAGCCCAAAACAATTCTACCCAAACATATTCATATATATCCATATTACTGCATTAAATTTTAAAGTGAACATTTAAAAAAAATCCACATCTCAAAAAAGTAAGGTTGGTTTTACAGCTCAAGGGATTTATTCACTGTATAGTGAGACAAAGACACTACACTGGCCTAATTATTTAAGACTTTTTTTTATAAGCAGAGCTTACAGAGTTATCAGTGGACCACATGTGGAGTATTCTACCATTATCAAGTGACCCCTGACCTAACTTGTCTGCAATGTGCACATTAGCACTGTACAAGTACTACTCTTAAACTAACAAAATTGATTTTGAGGTTATTGTGAATTCCTGTCTCACTATTGCACATTTTTCAAGTTATTTGATTTTAATTGTAATTAAATGTTGCACTGCACTTTTTAAAACCAAAAGCATTAATCTGTTTGCAGTAAATCCATTGTCTGCTGGCGTGTTACTTTTCTGCCACTTAGTATTTGTCGCCCTTTGCATGTTTGCTACCTTTTCATATTAAAAATTGTATAAGAGTAAAACATGTGACTTTTTTTTATAAGCAGAGCTTACAGAGTTATCAGTGGACCACATGTGGAGTATTCTACCATTATCAAGTGACCCCTGACCTAACTTGTCTGCAATGTGCACATTAGCACTGTACAAGTACTACTCTTAAACTAACAAAATTGATTTTGAGGTTATTGTGAATTCCTGTCTCACTATTGCACATTTTTCAAGTTATTTGATTTTAATTGTAATTAAATGTTGCACTGCACTTTTTAAAACCAAAAGCATTAATCTGTTTGCAGTAAATCCATTGTCTGCTGGCGTGTTACTTTTCTGCCACTTAGTATTTGTCGCCCTTTGCATGTTTGCTACCTTTTCATATTAAAAATTGTATAAGAGTAAAACATGTCTGGCTGACAATAATATAATGTAAGCAAACAGCTACAGTTAATAAAACTGATAATGACAGTAGTTAATATTAGCCTACATTGACAATAATTAATGGTAACCTACTGGCAGCCAAGAGGCATTGGAAAGCCCCCAAATCTAACTTTGCATAGGGCCCCATAAGGACTTGGGCCGGCCCTGCTATACCAAAACAAATTATGAAGAAACGTGGTCACCGACACTGATTGGTTGGTTCATTCATTGTTCTCGTTTATTTCCGTCTTAGGGGGAATTCACTGAATGCAGTTCAACTCGTGACTTGCCGTTCGACCGTCATCTGGCGCTTGTTATCATCCGGAGCGTTAACAAGTGATCGTGATGGACGCTTTATTTTTCTTTGCTTTATTGTCTGCAGCTTCAGCTTTTCGTCTGTCAGAACGAGGTAATTTGCTACGGTAGACTCACTCGAGCAGTTTATTTGTGTCAACTTTCACTTTCATATTCTACCATGGTGTTTGTTGCTGCCGAGTTCTTGTTTAAATCACTGGGTTTGACCATATGAATCTGCACAATTTTCAGACGAGTTTCACTTCAAGTCATGGATGGCACAGGTACAGTATAACCAAACACTGTGTGTACTTTAACAGATTATACAATAGTTGCCATATGTGGAGCTGAGAAAGTTACAGTAGACTGTTACCCATGTGTTTCTGAGCTCCTGCTACCATAATATAAACATAATTCATTTTTTTAAATCCCCCTCATGTACAGTACAACAGAGTGTACAGTATGAAGGAGTACTATGAGAGACTCCAGATATTCACTGACAACAAGAGGAGGATTGACAAGCACAATGAAGGAAATCACTCCTACACAAGTAGGAATAGCCTTCACTATTTAATCTGATAGGGGTTACAGTAAAACACATTGACCTGGTGTTTATCTCTTCCTGCAGTGGGGCTGAACCAGTTTGCAGACATGACCTTTGCTGAATTTCAAAAGTCCTTCCTCTTGTCTGAGCCACAGGTAAAGTTATCCATGAGGAAGTAGTTTAGACAGATTTTTCAGATAACCCATTTTGACAGCACGGGTAATTGTGACATTTTCAGTTTTTCTTTTTTAATAAATCTGCAAAAATGTCAAACATTCTGTGTTTTTCTGTCAATATGGGGTGCTGTGT